ACTCCTTATATCAATTTTAGAAAAGATACATGATCCATGAAATTCATCTAACATATCATCTAAATGAAGAATGATGTGCATGTACTTAACTTTGATGTTGTTGATGGCTCTACAATCAACATACATATGCCAGTCCTGTGTTTCTTTGGCACCATCAACACAAAAACAACACATGGAATCATACTCCGTGATTATTCCTTTCTTCAAGAGATCATTTACCTACTTTTTGAGCTCTATGGTCTCTATAAGATTGGTCCTGTAAGCTGGACGGTTGGGGAGTGAATCTCTTGGTATGAAGTCTATTTGGTGCTCAATGCCGAATTGTCCCAAGAAACACATCTCTATAGTCCTGCAAAAGACGCCCAGTCTTTCGGTATGATTAGATCATGATTAGAAGAAGAGGTTAGTAACTCCTTGTTGTCACTAAGATCATGGATTGTTGGCTATAAAACAAACAATCTTTGATCTCACTAGAAGTAGCTAACAAACAGGATTTTCTTACCCTGGCCACAACTTGATCTTCTTCTTTTCTCTACTTGAGTTGTGATAGAACCATAATATATAAACTACAGAGAACTGAATATGGTAAGAAAATAAAATGATAAGATTATAAGAAAAATTAAGAAAATGATGATATAATAGCAGAGTCGCGATAAAATTTATTTCCTTAACCCAAAATACGTCCCGTATTGCGACGATTCTATAACGTAATGGATCCCAGGATACAACTGCAAAATCTTCTGACTGAGTCACTCTATTAGAAGCCTGACGAATATAGTTTTGTGTATACTCTCAGACTCAAAAATAAAAGAAGAGAAGACATAAAAAATACAGAATCAAATATTCAAGTGGGAGCATATTTGGTCTTGTTCATTGTATGAACTTCCACTTTCTAAATGGCTAATTAGCCTTATATAGAAAAGAGATCGAAAAGCACATGTTATTGATTTATACAAACCAAAACGCACAAGTGTATTATGGAGATTTTTTATACACATTATTAATCATAATAAATATGAGTCAAACACCACTACACCAAGATTCTATTGTGTAATTAAAATGAAGATATTATGTTTAACCAATTTGAAAAACAATAATATACTTCAATATGGATTTGCTTTATTTGTGTAACATAGATTTAAGACAAAAGATTATCATAAGTTTGGTGTAATAATAAGTTTATGGATGTAATGTCCAATAAACAAATTAAGACCACAAGTCCAAATCCATACTCGGTAAAGTGGTTATTTGCTAACTTTTACACTTAGCCAAATTTGAAGCTTTATAAGCCTTTCAAGTAATCCACTTTAGATCTCCATTTCTCATTTAATATGATTTTGACATGTATCTACACTACTTCCTAGTGCCTAACATTGGATATCTCGACGAATGTCTCCATCCGGATATTTACAAAAAAAATGGTCTAAAACCATTTCATCAGAAACAAGTTACAACAAGTTGTACCTGATTCTGATGAACTTCATGTGGAGTTAGATGCAGCATAATGATCTGATTTTATTTATTGGCAAATGTATGCATGTTGGTGAATTCATTATGTATGGTCTTTTGTCATACTGCAATGGACGTCTAAGCAGAATATGGCTAGCCTCCATGGGTAAAACATCACAAGTGATTTCATCTTGATACCTTCCATTGGTGATTGGTACCTTCACTTGCTTACTCGCACGCATTCCACCTTCTTCACTCAACCATTGAAGTGAATATTGTTTGGGATGATCATGAACCGTGAAGCCTAGTTTATTCATCAAAGTTTCACTAGCCACGTTTATCTGCATCCATCAATTGTTCGGCTGCACACCTTGTTGTGAACCAGGCAACATGTATGGAATAGTTTCTCCCCTTCTCATGCTCCCTTACCTTAGGCTGAGAATTCAAAGTCCTCCTTATGACCAACATCTCTCCTTGACTTGGTTATTCCATAGTTTCATCATCCATTTCACCATCTTGGTTCTCATTTTCATACACTACATCTCTCTTTGACCTAGGACATGTGCTTTTCTATTTATTGTTTGACTTTGGTGTTTTGCATTTCTAAAGGTATTTTGTAGATTGTAGGATGGTTTGAGCTTTTAAAACTATTATAGTCCTACTCCATTTCATTTATTAAATTCATTCGTTGTTTTTTTTAAAAGTTTTTGATATGAAAGTTGTGATCGTATTGTGTGTCTCCCTTGATTGATGTATGATAGTGTATGTTCATTTCTGTTTCGGGCGTTACGTATGAAGTTGGGACTGGAATTCGGAGACGAATTCCAATTTACAAAGGAAGAATTGTAACAGTCCGAAACCATGGCCAAAAAGTTTTAAGGAGAGTCCACTAAGACTACAGCCCATTAGGGTTAAAATCCTAGGGTTCCTTCTTTTTTCTTATAAATCGAAGCAGCATTCTCTCTCTCTCTCTCTCTCTCTCTCTCTCTCTCTCTCTCTCTCTCCCCTTGCCATCTCTCTTTATCTCTCCTCGCTGCGCGAGGTGGTGGTGATCAAGAGGTTGCTGAACGGAGCTTTTTGATTCCCATCAATTCATATTCTTGTTTTCCTGTTTCAGATCTCCAGATCTTAGTTTAAGATGAGGTGATTCAAACTCAATCTCTTCTCATGATCTCTATATTGGTTAATGTAGAATTAGGATTGGTTAGACCTTATTTAAAAGTTAGGTTATTAGATCATAATGAGAGTTAAGTTTTAGATCTATGGGTTCATATTGCATAAGAACATGCATACTGATTAATATATGTGTGATTGATTGCTTGATGCTTGAGATGATTGTTGAACAAAAACTAAGTTGCTAGGAAAAAATGTTTTAATTGTTTTTTTATGATAATCATAAATTAATAATTTATCTGCGGCTTAATTATTTTTTTCGATTTTGAGATTAGGCATGTTTGCCAATGAGAACCAAATACTGATTTTTTCCCAAAGAGAACAAAACAAATTGAACACATTATTTTTCAAAACAATGTTTTGATCAATGAAATGGGGTTTGTATGCTCGTTTTGTTTTGTTTGTCAATTCTATTAGCCACACTATTTAATATTGCGGTGTTTACGTGATTAATATATAAAAATTTGATATAGCTATTGGCAGAAAAACAAATAAGCCTTCACTATTGATTGGGATACTTTCTTTGATACTTGCTTCTAAGTTCTAACTACTCACTTGTTCTGTCTTCTTCTACTGACAGTCGACAATTTATTTTATGCTCCTATCAATATTCATTGTGTTTGCATTTTCGTTTGTGATTACATGTTTGGTCCATACTCCACGGGACGATCTTTCAATTGGTCGAATTACCACAACCACTGAAGTTAAACCGTTTCGGGATAACATATACATATATTATATATATACATAATATCATCTTTCGTGCCATTTTTAAATCATATGGAACTTTGTCATTATGTTCCATATATAATTCTGCTTGAAGGTCACGTAGTTTGAGTTATTCTTGATTATTATAGAAATATATAGTTTCCTAGTAAGTCATGAATGTTTCTTTCGTAATAATTGCACAATATAACTAATCTCTCCTTTTTCATATTTTTACATCCATTATACCTCATCTATCATAATACTGTATATATTAGCTCAATCGCATAAAACAATTCATGATTTGGACACTCTTGGAGGTCAGCTTCGTAGAATGAAGGATACTATATTTGCATCAATAAGATCAATCATTTCATCCACGTTTTCCAAATCTCACACTCTTTGGTGATCCACTGTATTTGCATCATATATATATATTCTGTGTTTAGATATGCTTTCAATCATGGTGTTTTTGGAGTACGAATTTTGTAGTCAACTAAGCAGCATATACTAAAATTTTAAACAAATTATATGAAAAGACTTTACTTTAGAAAAGACATTAAAACATCACAAAAACATCATTAACAACATATTAAAACTGTAATAATAATAGAAAAATCCAAATATATCAACAGAACAAGAAGCCTTATATATATCTATCAACCTCAGTAATTCTCGTTTGTGTTAACAAAACTTAGAAAACAATTCTTAAAAAAAAAAAAAAGAAAACTTAGAAAACAATTACTTAAAAATAGTAATGATTTCATATAGGGCCGAAGTTATTACTGTGGGAATGGAGTCAGGTGACCCCACCTTTTTAAAAAATTTATTTATTTTATTTAATAAAAATATTGTGTGACCCCAGCAAAAAAATTTAAGTGTCCCATTATCAAACCAAATGTGAGGCAAAAACATAATTAAAGCATTGATCATTATTTTTGGGCTTAATTTTTTGATTAAATATTGTTTTTGAGCTCAGTTTTAGTTTAACCCATATTAAATATAAAAAGGATTCACGTTTAATAAAGTTCATTAACTATTAATTTATTAACTGATGTTTTCTTTATCGATGTAATCTTATTTCCATCTTTTATTGTTCACTACAAAATAAAACGGATTTACATTAGATGTTTTCTAGTATCCATTAATATATATATAGATGATATTTCATTTCATATTAAGTTATATAAAATAATGTAAACTCACAGATAATTTAATATTTATATTTATAATTTAATTTATTAGATAATGCATCAAATTTAAAAAATATATATATATATTTTTAAACAATTAAATTTATTTTGGTAAATACTTTTAAAGTAACTTTCTTATTTATTAATTAAATTAAAAGTAAAATATAATAAACATAAATAAATATAAAATATATTATATATTTCAAAATTTTATTAAAAAAATGACTCCAATGAAAAAAAATTCTGGTTCCGCCACTGATTCCATATGAAATTCTCTGATATGACAGTTTTCACCTTATATTCGTGAAAAAATCAAAATTAAAATCAAATCGCCCACCTTGGATTATACGATATTACCTCGCTCTAAAAGAAAAGTTAAGATTGTCCTTATTGACAAAAGCTGATAAGACTTTTTTTGCTCTACAGTCAGCCTGAAATGATAACAAAGACCACCACCACTCATTGTCTGCTTTTTGAATCCTTGAAAGTTAATAAAAGAAAACAACCGACAGAGAGATAGAAACCCTCTTTCAACAAGTAGGATTAAGTGCCTTGCAACAAACGTAATTATAGGAAGATGAAAGACAAACACACATGAATCATGATTTTCATAATCACTTCTCTGTACTGGCGTCTCTGTTTATTTTCCAGAGCAAACAAGAACAACGGCCACAAAAATCTAAGTACAGGGAAAGAATCATGATGATAAAGAAGAAGATGAAGAAGAAACCACACAAGAAAAGCAAAAAACTCTCACCAAATATGAGTATTTTCAATCAAAGAATTCCCAGTTGAACCTTGGCAGGATGGCGTGATTATTTGCAGTAGTCGAACTCAATGGAGTCGCGGTATGATGATAAAATGTTTCCCATTTAGTAGAAGAATCCATCAGATTTGGTCTTGCCCTTGAATTTATTGGCTCCTCCACAATCTCGTGTTTCTTCTGTTTGTTGTTTATAGGCATGTCCATAAGTGATTGTATCGGTTTCTGCTCTTGCCTCTGTCCATTGCTATCTTCTTCAATCGTTGCAAGTCTCTGACCACTTGTCTGTTTCTGCTGCCCATTAGCGATAGAATTCTTCACTTTCAAAAAATCGAGTGCTTCGACATAATTTTGTACTCTCTTCACCTAAACATACATAGAACTTACAATGTTACAACTAAAATTAACCCAAGAAACATTGAGAGAGCTTCCATGATTATTGATTTGATTGTATTATACCTGCATCTTTCTTTGCAACTTCACATCTCCTTCAGCTACAATCGCATCCAACTTTATCAACTCATTCATCAACAATTCCATCACCGTAACAAGATCTTTCTCCGCAACTTTCCCTCCTTTCTTTATAACCATCTCAAACGCCGAAACCTAAACACACACAACATTTTCAACAAAAAAAATAAAAAAAAATATAAAATAATCTAAGAAATGTAGAAGAGGTATTACACGTCCACCGAGTCTATCAATTTCAAGGCTAATATCAGAGACCGCTTTAGACGCCTTTTCTGTTTTGGCGATCTTCCTCATCTCCAAAAAGCGTTTTTCTTGGCTAATGGGGTCTTCCATTAGCACCATCTTGGATTTGTCTTTCACTCCGGAAACGTCAAGAAAAGCCTTTGAATCTCTGTCTTTGTCTTTGTACATTAGTTTCTGATCTTGATAGTGAATACCCGTCGGTCCACTCAACATCTTCTTTAGCTCCCCTACATCCAAAAAAGTAAAATGATTCAAAATTCACTCATGTCCGGTGGTAGGCAGCATAAGTCTTCTAAAATTTAAAGCGGTAATATACAAAATTAAAATTTTATTAATTTTTTTTTACTAAACTGTCCATAAATCCTATAATTTTACACACACAAATAATCAATTTGCTTACGAATCTTGAGAAAGGTATTATTATATGTGAAGAGACTAACCAAAAGAAGCTTGAGGACTAATACTGATCTCATGGTAAACCGAACCGTACTTGATTCTAACTCTGATCATCGGTGGCGGTGGAGCTCCGACAAGATCCGAATCCGGGTTACGCTTCTGAACCAACATTCCTCCGGGTCTCATTTCCCACTCATGACCGCCTGACTCCCTGCCGCCACCAGCGCCGCCGGATACTCTGCTAACGCCAGTCGCCGGGAGATTTGTCGGTTTGTTTCTCATCATTTTCCTCTTGGTTTTGTTGAACCGACAAAGGCAACAACGGATCTAAAGATCTCTGAGAGATTAGTGGTATGAGAAACAAGACAAAGCCATTGGAGAGAGAAGAAGAATGTTACACGAACTCTGGGACTTGGACATGGAGATCATTAACACCACTCCAAACCCATTTCGCCACGTGTACTACAAAGATCAAAGTACCAGACCTTTCTGCTCCACAAAACTAAATAATTTCTCTCTATCTCTTTTTCTTCAATAGAAGAACCAGAATTGACTTCACAGATCTCCTCTGTTTTCCCGAGTAAGGTATCCGGATTCTCTGTTCGAGTTTCTAGTTCAGAGAACCCGTTGGGAATAATGAAAGTTTTAGTTATTTATAAAAAGGAATAATAACGAGTGGCCAGCTAATCTATCTCTCTTTGTGTCAGTGACTTATGTCATACAGATACATACTGTAAGTTTTTGGTCGGTATATATATATACATTTGTCTTTGGACTTTTCGTTGGATGAGTATTTCCTGGTAGGGGTGGGTATTTCGATTTTATTACCGATTCGGTTTGGTTGGGGTTGTTTGGATCTAAGAAAACTTTGCCCAATGTTAACCGATATTAGTTTCGTTTGATCTATGTTCGGTTTGATTCGGTTTTAGTTTGGTTTGATTTGTGTTCGGTTCGATTTTAATTTGGTTTGGTTTGTGTTTTATTAGGTTTAATATGGTTTTGTTTGTATTTTTCAATTCAATCGAGTTGATTTTTAGTTTCGTTCTAGTTCAAATTACAAAAAATATAATTTATAAAAACATTAACAAATCATCATTTGACACTAAATTATTCTTTCACTAAATTATTGTTTTCTCCGTATTTAAACGTAAAACCAAATATCAGAATAAATATGTAGAAGATGTAATCTAATAATTTTATATTATTATTTTTAAACTTAATATTCCGTTTGTTTCAATTTAGTAGTCATTTTAGATTTTTACATACAAATTAAGGAAATATTTAATTTTACATATTTTCTAGAAAAAACACAATTATCTATACATCTAACCACATTTCAACCAACAGAAAAAATAAAATAGTAGATAAAGTTAATAAATTTTGTATTGAAATTATAAAACGATATTTATTTTGAAACAAAAAATTTACTCTAGAACAACAAAATGGTGGATTTAGTCCATTTAGAATGTCTGTGAGACAATATTCATTGTGGCCGGTCTTGCTTACACCGTATAACCTGCCACCTGAGATGTGCATGCGACGAGAGTTTCTATTCATAACCATATTAATACCTGGTCCAAAACATCCAAAAAGATCTCTCGATGTTTTTCTACAACCACTGATAAAAGAGTTGAAAGATTTGTGGTCAACAGGAGTGAGGACATATGATTGTTCAACGAAAACAAACTTTACGATGCGAGCGATGCTTTTGTGGACCATAAGTGATTTTCCTGCATATGGGATGTTGTCTGGGTGGACTACACATGGGAGATTAGCTTGTCCATATTGTAATGGACTGACAGATGCGTTTCAGTTGAAGCATGGTAGGAAGACTAGTTGGTTTGATTGTCACCATCGATTTCTTCCCGTTTACCACCCATACCGAAGAAACAAGAAATTGTTCAAGCACAAAAGGGTTGTTAGAGACACTCCTCTTCCATATTTAACTGGAGAACAAATCGAAGCGCAAATTGATTACTATTGTGCTTTAGAAACAGCTCATCGTGGTGGGAATTGGCATGTTCCCAGTAATATGTCTGATTCTTATGGTGTTCAGCACAATTGGCAGAAAAAGAGTATATTTTGGGAATTGCCATATTGGAAAGATCTTCTTTTGCGCCACAACCTCGATGTGATGCATATAGAGAAGAACTTTTTTGAGAACATTGTGAACACTATATTGAATGTCCCAGGGAAGACGAAAGACAACTTAAAATCAAGGTTGGACTTACCCGATATCTACTCAAGGAGTGAGCTACATATAAAAAGCAATGGGTAAGTTCCAGTTCTAATATTTAAATTGTCATAAGAAAAAAAGTCTGTGTTGTTCAACTGGGTGGCTTCAGAAGTGAAGTTCCCTGATGGGTATGTTTCAAATCTCTCAAGATGTGTTGAGAAAGGGCAAAAGTTCTCCGGGAAGAAGAGCCATGATTGTCATGTCTTTATGCAGCGACTACTTCCCTTTGCGTTTGTGGAGCTAGTACCGGCAAAAGTACATGAAGCACTTTCAGGTAATTAATTAATATAATACGATGATATGATTAATTTATTTTTGTATATATATATACCAATGTGGATCTGAGCACCCGCACTCTTCAAGTGGAAGTTGTCCAATGGAACACCTAGTTGTCCACCTCCCGTATGAGGCATTACTTCGTGGACCTGTGCATTATGGATGGATGTATCAGTATGAAAGGGCCATGAAAACTTTGAAAGGAAAAGCCAAAAACCTAGCAAGAGTTGAAGGTTCTATTGTTGCGGGAAGTTTGACGGAAGAAACAACACATTTCACATCGTACTACTTTGCACCGAAAGTACGTACAAGGAAACGAGCTCCAAGAAGATATGATGGTGGTGTTGTGCCGACATATATGGAAGACGATATTCCAGACATCTTTTGTCAAATTGGGCGATTGGGTGGGAAATTGAAAGAGGTTTGGTGGTCGAGTGATGAAGACGTCCATAGTGCACACCTTTATATTCATCTTAATTGCGAGCATCCATTGATTGCTTATTTTGAAAGGTAAATATATAAACATACACACTTATATATATATATATATATATATATATTTTTTTTTTTCAATATTAAATATATAACATAACATATATGATTTTACAGCCAATTTGTGACTCAAGTCGAGGAAGCAATACCTGGTATATCGACAACTGAGTTAGACAAAAGGAAAGATCAACACTTTATCAAGTGGTTGAGGAAACAAGTATTTATTATTCCTTAAATTTTATGCATACATTACCACAAAGTAAGTCTAATGTCTAGTTATATTACTTTTTGTTGCAGGTTGATTATGACGATCCTGAGTATCCCGCATGGTTTCGCGAATTACTTCAAGGTCCAGTTGCAAAGGTCACTACATCATTGATGTATTTCACCCGAGGCTATACTTTTCATACCTATGACTATGGTAGACACCGGGCGACAAGTAATTATGGAATATGTGTGAAAGGCGAAACATATTTCTACGGGATCTTGTAGGAGATTTATGAAGTTCAGTTCCCAGGTATGAGTTTGAAATGCGTTATTTTCAAGTGTGAGTAGTACGACCCCGTCGTCAACAGAGGTGTTCAGATTAACAAGAACGGTGTAGTTGATGTCAATGGTGGACGAATGTACAACAAATTCTTTTTTTTTTTAATATCCATGTTTCGAGTATTAATTAATTTTTATATTGATCTTTATTTTTGTAGGTACAACAAGTTCGAGCCTTTCATATTAGCTTCCCAATCAGATCAAGTTTGCTTAATTCCATACCCTCGGATTACTACCTCGGGAATAAAATGGTTAGCTGTTATCAAAGTTACACCTCGAGGACAATAATCGCTGGAAAAGAACCACCATTACAAAAAGAAAACACCAATGAGATCGAGGAACCTGAAGCAGAACTTGATGACATCCTACTCATTGATCCGCATAATCGTGAATATGAAGATGTTCCTGATCACTCAACGGATGAAGGTGTAGACGATGAGTTTTAGAAAATGATGATGTTTCAACAGATTACGAGAATGTATCCGAATGAATTATGTATGTTTATATAAGTTTGTTTAATCACAAAAATGAATTTGGATTATATATGTTTTAAGTTTGTTTAATCACAAAATCAATTTGGGGTTTATGTGTAGAAGAGGTTAGGAGTTTGGTTGTAGAAGAGGTTATAAGTTAAGGAAGTTGTGGTTTGGGGTTTGGGGTTTCGAGTTTAGGGATTTACAAATCCTTTCCTCGTAAAGCCCTAGTAATAGAAAACGCGGGGATAGCTGTTTCCTCGTAAAGTCCTAGTAATGGTATTACTAGGACTTTACGAGGAAAGAAACGCGGGCATAACTATTTCCTCGTAAAGAAGTTTCCTCGTAAAGTCCTAGTAATGGTAGTACTAGGACTTTACGAGGAAATAAAAACACGGGCATAGCTATTTCCTCGCAAAGCCCTAGTAATGTTACTAGGGATCTACGAGGAAACAAAATTCCTTATATAAACTCGAGCAATCCGATTTCTCATTTGTAGTAAACTTCTCTATGAATTCTCTTAAGGTTCTCTCCATTTCCTAGTTAGGTGATTAGACTAGGGAATTTAGATTAGGTTGTTAGTTTAGGGAATTTAGATTAGGTGGTTAGTTTAGGTAATTTGATTAGGTTGTTTTACTTTTTTAAATGTTTTATTAAATTATACGGGAATTAAAGTTTTGTTTTTCTTTTTTTTAAAAAAAATTTAGATGGCCAGAACAGCAAAAATATCGTTGGTCTATAGGGATTCACCAGTGGGTGAAGACGGAGTTTGAGGCCAAGACAAGAGCACGATTGCTCGATATGGTCTACAACTGGAAGGGCGACTTTGAGGTATGGATTTATAAATTATATATATATATATATATATATATATAGTTTTAAAAATATTATTGACTTTAGTTCTAATTATTATAAAAAAAAAATTTTTCAGGTGGATGGTTACGAGGACGGGAAATCCGATTGCCTCTCAACCACGGTGTGGGATGGCCTCATCAGATATTGGGGGTTTCCAGATTCAGTCAGAACCTCCAACACAAACTCCGGGAACCCCATGACCAAAGACGAGCATGGCAACACAAAGATGCTTCACACCACGGGTCGAAAACCTCACGGGGGAGTTCGTTTAGACATTGTAAGATGATTTTTAATAACTATCTAATTTTTACTCTATTTGAATATATATTCCAAATTAATATTTAATTTTAAAAATTATTTTTATACGCTAAAGAGACAGGAGTTCTTTCATCTCTGAAAGACCTTTACGAGAGGACCCACCGGAACAAGACTGGGCAGTTTGTAGATCCTGCTTCCGAGCGGATCTACAACGAGGTTGTTGCCTGAGTTGACGAACGCCAGACCCAGCTGACTCAGCAGACTGGGACTCCAGTCATATTATCCACTCTTGAAGTGGATAAGATTTACGAGGAGGTAAATAATTTGTTTTACTATTAATTTTAATTTTTTATTTTAATTTTTTCTTAACGTTATTAATATTTTTATTTACAGGTCGCCCCTAGGAAAAAGAGGCGTATCGTTGGGATTGGCTCGGTTAACGATGTCCCCGCAGCGACATCGTCTTATGCTTAGGAACAACAAGATGTCAATGCTCAGCTGCGCTCGGAGTTGCAGGCGACGCAGTCTCATGTGAGTTCGCTCACCGAGC